GGTGAATAGGATACAAAGATCATTTGAATTGAAAGCACATCGTGGCCACAGCTTACAAAAGTTACCAGTCAGGTATCTAGCCCTAACGTACGGTGGACGGCCTGCTGTAAACGTTCTTCAATGGTTATGATTATGAAATGATACGGTGCTCTTTTCTTTTTTTTTTTTTTTGCTTTATTAGTCTCAATAGGGCAACGGTGAGGTCGACATTCAATGCAAAAATCACGCGAGGCCGGTCGGTAAGTATGATGGTTATATATAATAATATAAAAATTAAATATGTTTTATAATAATAGGCCCGAACATAATTCACGAGTCGCTCCAGTCAATACCGTGGGCATTGTCGTGGCCTCTTAGCTCTCTGACGCTACGTGTGGCAAGAACAATAGAGGTTCGATCTCCTCCTCACCCATCCGATAGAATTTGTCGATAAGGTGAGGAAGCATCAATCTGGAGATGTTGAGGCAGGAGTTCGATTGCAAATAAAATGTGTTTCTAGGTACAAGCCGGTTTGTTCGGAAATAATTTAAAAGCATTCACTTTTATTTATTTTAAAGGCTACTCACACAGGAATATACTGAAGGGGCTCTTACAGAGCGGGTACGGACCCTTGAAGAACAGCTAAACGCACAGACTGTTACACGTTCTGTGCGCTTTTATGTAACCGGAGCACATGCAGTAAAATAATTTTCACCGGTTAACAAGTCCGATAAACTAATCTCTATAAAAAAACCCAGCGTGATTTGTATTTTAATTGCAGCACTTTCCGAATCAGCGTTAACTAAACCGATCTTGCCTAGCACCACCTTTTCCAAAAATAATAGCAAATGTCAATCTCTACTGCCTCAGACTCTGGACAAAAGATAACTAATACTTTTACTTTTTCTACCGTCTGGTTATTTCAAAACTGATAATTCAATACAAATGCCACGTGAAACATGTGTAAAACCACACGACAGTAATTATGACGTGTTCCTCCCTATGCTCCGATGGTACCACAAGGATTTGGTAGTTCATAAAGCAGCTGACCTCAGCGACGTTATGAGATCGTCGGTTGTTTTTGTCGCGTTTTTTGTATCGTTTTTTAAATGTTTTTTTGTGTACGTTAAGAAAATGAAAATTTATTATTTTGTTATTTATTTATATTACTAATTATTTAATAATATCATTATTTCGCATTGTCCAAATTACTCATTTGTCAACTAACTGTTGTGCTATCGCAGTCATTATTAGCAGTACTTATTGCGGCAGATTAAAACGAAATCGGATTAAATAAAATCTGGGGTCTTCTAGGATTCTCATGTAATGCCTCTGAAACCCACATATACTCTTCTATTAACAAAAGTTATCCTAACTCCTATCCCAAATTCTAACCTAAATCCCCAAAAAATAAATAAATAAAATAATTTTATTTTATTTTATTTTATTTTATTTCAAATTTTCGCATTAAAATAGAGAAATTTTCATTTTAATCCGATTTCGTTTTAATCTGTCACAATAACCCACGTTATACAATCTCTTGTGAGCGATTACTGTAGCAATAAGTCGGACAAATCTCTCAGCCTTTATTTTTACATATTTAAAATTTTTTCGATAAGTCGGACAACATATATAAACTCTCGTTAAGTCGTAAGTCGGACAACCTCTCCAGCCAGATAGTAGTAAATGACTCTCGCTAAGTCTTGATCACGTGATTTGTATAAAGATTGACAAATTTTTTTACCAATTTAGGAGCGGATTATTTCATTTAGCTTGCACTCACCGATCATTTGTTATTTCATTTGAAAGACGTTCTACAAAATGTTTATACGTCATTACATCATTAATAATTTTGCTACTTCATTTGGACGTTCTTGTAACTTAACAAAGTGTTTACATCATTGATAATTCACTATTTCATTTGATAATTTAGAAAGAACGTTTTTGTTATGTAAACAAAAAAAATTATACTGTACGCTATAGGATATTCATTGATGATATATCATTTTGCGATCTTGTATTGCGAAAAAACGCCATTAACATATTTTTAATATGTATAAAAAGGTTGATTTCCCAACCTTCAGAATTCTTTAATAAAGATCAAAGTTTAAAACAATTATTATGAACGCGGAAGGAACATCCAGTAAATTTGGAAGGAAAGGTTGCCCTTACTAATATCCAAATACGTGTATAACGAATAATCCAAAAGCGAATACATCTTATAACATGAAAGGAAATTGTGCTACGATGAATCCTATTGGTCTCTCTGTAACTCAATAATGCCCAACTTATCTATGTATGCTGGGTTTTTTATTGATGGAACTATTGCCTGCCATTCGCTCATGGCATATTCCCTCACTCTCAATCGTACTAATGACAATCTTGCGATTTTTCGAGGTGTCGATGCCAACGCCAGTGCTAAAAAAATAGTGTTAGAAAACTCAGTTGGTTTATTCCGCACGTCCAATTAATAAAGTTACCTTATATAAAACTGTAGAAAGTAACGATAGCAGTGGGATTTCGTGCGTTCCATTGTAACTTTTTCAACGTGCCTCAAATTAAATGTTTCGAGATTTCAAGAAGGCCTACTATTGGGGTTAGTGAAAAAGAAAGTAGTAATAATGTTTTTTTAGACAAATTTATTGATCTTTATCCATAATTCGTTATTGATTTGAGAAAACAAAGTGAGCCCCTCAAGACCGCGGTTCAAGATATTACCATCAAGGCCGAATTCGGTGCTAATGTTCCGGACACACACACTTACCGACCCAGCAGTATATGCCTTTGCGAGAATTTAAACCTTAGAATTAGTATTAGTACTAACAACTGTTGAGTTGTTTACTTAATTCTGTGTCACGTTTCAATAGTCACATAATTCAACATACTGATACACTTTGTCTTTGACAGATTACAATACAAGAACTATGTAATATTAGCTCTGAAATGCAAGAGGCCATCGACAAAGAATCATATATGTGCGTTTCTGAGATTCTCGATTTGTTATCTGAAGAAAAATTGTCGTCAACTAATACCATTGACTGAAATGAAGTTGAAATAAACAATGCGGGTCGATTAGCTAAGCCACTCATTTTTAAACCATACACGATTCTTACACTATATCTATTTTTTTCTCAACCATCAGTAGTTACTGACCAAAGAGTCAAAATTCCATCCCTGATCCACTTGATATTAATCCTAATTCAATAGCAAATGTTGAAAAAGTTCTCTTGCATATTAATATAGAAACGATATCAGGTATTAAAGACGGACCCCGTAAGTGGGATTGCAGTTGCCTGCGATGGTGTCCTGTACCATCATGCTAGCAAGTTGAAGGAAAGGTTTCCTTGGTTAGTTCTTATACCCGGACAATTGCATGAAGAAATGAATATGCTTCGAGCATATGTAGGACTAAGCTGGTAAGTATAAGTTGGCTTTATAATAAGTTGCACATATACATTTATTCATATCTATTCATTTTAAAGCGATTTGCATTATGTCAAAGTTATCAGACAGAAATCAGCTCGCTTTTTTCAAAAAATCTTGGAATTCTATTTGTAACATATACCGTCAAGCAATCCCCATGGATCTAATATGGCCATATTAATATGTGAAGAGCCATGCTGACCCATCAGTTGAAGGATATTTTTCCTGGGTGGAAAAACAAAAAACATCCGTTTTACAAGATAAAATATGAACAGGTACAATTAACTTCCTTTGAAATATCACCATTGTTTAAATAATATACTAATTAGTTTGTAGACATTCATTTATCTTCAAGCAACAATCAACTATCGAAAAGCTATACGAACCAACAAACCTTTTTTAAAAAGGGCTGCCAGAAGAGTATTCTCTCCTATTTGGTCTGCAAGGCGTCGCCCTATCTATTGTTTAATAAAAGTTGCTGATAAAGTGCAATTTCACCCAGACATGTATAGAATCATAGAGGAAAACTGTGTTGTTTCTAGATCAGGAATCTACAAACAACATCAAGGATTAGATGCTATTATGGAGGAGGTAAACAAAACCTTGAAAACTTTAATACCTCCTGTGCCACAATATCACCATTGGAAAATTGCAGCACATAATTGCAAAAAGTTCTTTGAGGTAATAATTTGATTATTTCAAGCATTGAGTGGTTATGCATTAATTTACTGATAATGGATTTAGCTCCGAAGCAATCTGTTTATGAACACGGTCACACCGATAGTCTCTCCCCCCGCAATCCAAAGATCTAAGGGGGCAGCTCCCAAACGAAATGCAAGGGTCGATTACAAATCAATCAGTGATGACACATTGAAGAATTTATTGCGCATTGTAGGCGATCAGATATAATGATTCTGAAACATTGGGACCAAGGACTCGGCCAGAATCAATTATGGAATGCCAAAAATTTCGGGCTTACCTGAAAAGATTTGAATCTGGTGGATGCAAGGACCATTTTAATTTGTCAAAGCCTAAAGATTGAAGTACTCCTCGAACAAATCGGCGAAAATATCCAGAGAAAATAGTCTGGACTAAGGTCAAAGAGCGAAGTGAACTGTTAGGTATATTGAAAAACATAAAGTACCTATTAGTTCAAACAATGGAGTTGAAAAAGTTGAATCTGATCGGCGTTCCTTGTCTTTAGATAGAGTTAAAATGAGCTTTAACATGTAATGTAGTTCAGCAATAAAGTTGTACTTATTGATCGGCGTTCCTTGCTTATTAAGGTGCGATCATCATCGTCCAAATATGGTATAAAGATTTCAACCAAATAATCACATGATAGATGCCAGACAATATAAAAAATTCTATCTCCGATTTGTTTGGATTTTGCGTTACTTTTCTATTTATTCCAGCTGTTACCGGTCAATGTTGCATTTGGCAAAATTTGGCTTAACAAAGTGCGCTGTAAAGGAAAATAAAACTCCTGCAGCCCTGCTCTTTTTACTATCTCTTTGCTATCTCGGCAACCGAATGGTTCATGTTCGTATTGGCTGAATTATACCAGTAATTAATATCAATTACCTAAGGGTGAGAACATGAGTTCTGCAACACCCGAGACTGTTTCAGTTCCTCCCATGTCTTCTTTGAATGGCTACAAGACGAGCGTATCTTATAAACCTCACAGAACTGGTTTGAAGACTTCAACTACTCACCCCATTAAGTACGCAATACGTATTTATATACACGTATGACACAGTCATTCACTCACCACATATTATTGTTTCACTCGATTAGCATAAGCTGGATCCTACCTGAAGAACTGATAAGAGGAGTTTCTGATGGGCCGTTGCCGGCTTCCATTGACTTGTATGATATATATACTACTACTTCCCTCTACAAGCGTTACCGTAAACCAACGCAGTCAGCGGGTGGACGAGGTGGAAGTGAATGCAGCTCTAATGAGATGGGGTTTGGGAACCTTGCGCTAAGCTCGTGTCCGGGAAAGAAAGTGCGATTGAGTGGGCCCGTGCGTGGTCGTTCAGCTATCGACAGGGATATTGATTTGGATTTTCAACGGTTACGTTCATGTGGGATATCTTTGGTTGTGTGGTGAGTATTACTGCTTAAAAAGGAAAAATATGTGCTGATTAGCAAGGATAATACTAGGCGAAAACGAGAAAGGACATGCTATATAGCCTGGTAACATAATTGTCTTCATTTTCTTGCCGTTATTGTGGTGTATTAATTATTTACCTCTATGTTGTTAATCAACTCGGCTGTTTAGTTGTCTGAACGATGAGGAATTGGCGTTTCTAGGGGCACCATGGTCAATATATGCAGACGCAGCCAGGAGGTATGATTTGGATATAATAAGAAGACCAATGATCGAGGGCGGATGTCCAGATACAGTGGAACAGATGGATGAAGTGATTAAGAAGATGGACACCCACATACAGCAGAACGAACGAGTTCTGGCACATTGTCGTGGTGGCGTTGGTAGAGCCGGCCTTGTTGCTTGTTGTTGGTTGTTGAAGCGAGGTTATTGTTATGATGCTAACAAAGCAATACGATTAGTAAGAATGAGGAGATCTCCAAAAGCAATCGAGACGCTGATGTAAGTAGTTATCGAGGGCATGTATGACAATGTGACATTACATCATTACTTGATCTTCATCAACTTTTTTTTAGGCAAGAGGACTTCATTAGAAAATACGCCGACTATGTGCAACAGAAACTCAAACCGACAGAGGGCAATGCAATATATAGCTAGTAACGATGAAAAGGACAGTATCTATCTTGTATGTTGGTATTGTATTTGGATTTCTGTTATAGTAGTAGTAGATTCTTCGCTTATTTGACATGAGCAAAATCTGCGGGGTTGTAAAGTTAAATTACTTGCTTAATCATGTGTAAACTCTTTTAACCATATGAAGCAAGTCGAAATGAATAAACTTGCTTCGTCGAAAAATTGTCCCGATTTGGACGTTTGTATTATATTTTATTATAGCAATATAAATAAAATAGGCAAAAGGTTCACCCGATTTCAGTGTTTATTATTATTAAATAGTAGGGTCCAAGTTCCAACAAAATAGTCTCGATTTACCAGGTACCGATTGCTAATGTCACGTGAACAAGACATATCGTGCAATTAGCATATTCAGTGGGCGTATTGACTGTTGTATTAGGGCAGTTGGTGTCCTGTTTGCTGGTGGTGCAAGTTCATGGAGTTTTGCGTTCCTTTATTAGTTGCTTCGTAACTTGAAGACTATGTCTTTTTGCAGCATCTTTATCAAAGCAAAGGAGTAATATGGTTTTTACGGAATAATTGGTGTAGGTTCATGGAGTTTTGCGTTCTTTATTTGTTTACATCTGCAATTGAACGCTAAAGGGTTTTGGTTACATTCTTGCTGATCCCTTTCTTCTTGCTTACATCTGCAATTGAACGCTAAAGGGTTTTGGTTACATTCTTGCTGATCCCTTTCTTCAGGTATTCCTTTTCGGAGGATAGGTTGAGAGTAGTGCCCGGCAGTTTTACAGGAAAGGCAGGAGGCTGGAGCGGGTGCATCGGGGGCCTTAGCATGGGGGGACTTGGACAATCAGGTCCCAGCGTCTCGTAAGGATGTTAGCCCCATGGTACTATTACTTTCACGCATGGGTATTGCGCCCAGGATAAGTAGTCTCGGATGTCATTATCCAGTTGAGGTGGAGAGGGACATTAGCAAGTTTAACCCTAAGGGCCCTAGGAGTTTGTTCTTAGTGGACATCGATACCTATAAGACTCTCTTAGTAGGAAGTTAATAGCTTTTACTGCGGGAAATTTTGGTCACGGAGCAAAAGGGAGGACATTTAGGCGCAGTAATATAAATGACAAAATCAATTGTTCTTCATAGTATAATAATCTATAGAAGCATGTCGTTTTTCTTGCGACGCAAAAGATATAAGTAGCTCTTCCTCTATCGTCAAATCTTCATGTTGTATGTTGTATGTTGTTGGTGTTTATTAAAATATGTTCTTCCTCGCGATCATCCAGTCTCGTCTTTTCCCCAAGCTATGATCACCACCTTTCTCATCTTCAAGTTCTTTATTATATTTGAGCTGGTAAAAACAACTTCAACTCAAGTAATCCGTATAATAAACATGCAAATCAATAAAAAGTGATAATTTCAATTCCATACCATTGTGTCATTAACATTGTTAATGGAGGTAATGACATTTGTAATTGAATTTTTAAAAACTTTTGTAGTATCTTTTATTATGAAGCTAGAAGCTTCTTCCTGTAGTCGTAAGAAAAAAACGATGAGCCTGAGTTTGTTTAGACAGATTAGAACTTTATTAGAATCCTCACCTCAGTGCGGCGTCTCTCGACTTGATTTCAGAACGTATCGACATTTTTGAAGTATTTACAATGTCCCTGTCAACTCACACATAATCAATCAATTAATAAACCGTTTTAAGGACACATCGCAGAAACCAAACACAACGGACACGCAGACTATAAGGCGAACAACACGCAGATGTCGCCCTTAATTGTGTGGGTTTCCTTCCTGTAAGAGAGGCCATTGCAACCTCACCATACAGTACTGTAGACAAGTACATTAGATAACCAGTGCGCAGTATAGTCATTAAAGTCTTGTTCAGCCTCCCAATACAAAATAATGACAGAAACTAAACAAACCTCACCCTACGACTTTTTTTCCAATCGGCTGGCGCCCTCCTACATTTCGTCCAAACCAAACTGTATCAGATTATTGAGATCTTTTTTAAGTATTTGTTTCCTCTTTCTGAAAAGAGGAAACAAAATCCGTCTAACCTTCTGGTTGTGTTACATCAAAATATGCGCTCCAAGTGTGAGCTTTGGATTGTTCTTCGTTAGAAGACATGGTTATGACTTGAAAAAATTTTCTCGTTTACACCGCGATCATTATTACGCGACAGATAATGCACACGTGATTTTATACTAACATCGAAAATTTTACATTTTGAATGTGATAGGTCCCAATTTGCCCTTGACGTAAGTTCTGATATACAGTGGCCTATCAAAAGTCTCTGGACACCCCCAAAATTTACTAGTAAACATAATAAAATTTGTTATTTCTGAAAATCTATACTGTCAGTATTTCCTATGTAAGGAATAGTAATTTTGGTATCTACAGTTCCTCAGTTATATCCCCATGTTGGGACCCAAGCTTTTTGGGAATATATCTGAGGTGGGATATATCGTAAATAAGGGCTCCTCATATAAAAAAATTGCTATCGTGAATAAGGGCCGTAATTGTTATGAAATAGCTGGTACTTTATTATGTGACATATACAGTGACACCTCCATAAATGCAACACCTTGGGACCGAGGGTTGTGTTGCATTTATGGGGGTTTTGCATTTATGGAGGGTTTCCCTGTTAGGAAAGATATTTTAATAATTTATGGATTTTCCTTTATTATACTTTCCAGCCAACTTTATGGAAAATTTTTGACTATAATTCCTTAATTGTTAACTAAGAATTGTGTTATGCTACTTTGTTTCATCAAATTTACCCTTTTTTCACGAATGAATTTCTCCAAACTATTAACGGCTTTTAAATAGCGACATTTTCAATTTATATTCTCCCTCTCCGAATTTCATCACTTTTATACTTTCGACATATCTACGTTAAACCATTGAAGCTCGTTCGCTAGTTTCAAAGGCATTGTAAAATGAAACAAATAATTCTAACGCAAACGCTGAAACAAAATAGCAATATTTCCTTCTTCAAACGTAAAACTGAATCTGTAACAAATAATGTGCGCGTGAATTGTGATATTTGAAATTTGAAACTAGTTTTTGTACCACTACTACATTGTGTTGACCATATTCCGCAACAAATAACATTACAGAAAATCATGTGAGTTGCACTTAGGGAAATGAATCTATTAGAGTGGGACCGCAAATCCGTTGCAATTGCAGAAAGTGGAGGGTTGCATTTATCC